AATGTTTATTATAACAATGTAAACTTATATTCATTTCTTTTTTTTTCTAAGGCGCTCGAACGAATCGGTGAATTGATAAACTCGGACGGAGGAGGTGCTTTGGATAATGTAAAGCGACAGTTGTCCATTTCTCATGACCTGTTAACTGTGTGGGAAAAGTCCATCGAACGAGCTTCGAAAATTCAGAAAATATCTGCGATCAATCTGAGATTTTTATTGGAGGACGCATCTACTATAATTAAACTGATCTTCGAACACTGTCGTGCGAGGTATAAATTACATACACACAGAAATACTAAGTTGCGTCTAACGACACATTTTTTTCTCCTATGCACGATGTTCTGTCAGAACCTAACCACGCGATTTTTAATCTGAAATAGGAATGCGATGGAAACGATTCGTTTAGACCAAAATGATTTTTCCGATACTATTACAGCTATCTTTTATTATTAACTTTTGTGCTGAGAAACATGTTACACACATCCATATTCATGGGTCTATCGTACCTTCACAACATAGGATAAAAATTTGTATCACGTCAACGAAGATATTAATTTCATTTTTCCATGATCTTTTAATTTTTCATTTCTATTTTATTTTTGCATTTCATATTTCGTTTACTTAGCTTTTACTATTATTTTATTATTTCTGTTATATTTCGTATGCACCAATCAATGCGTTATATGTTTCAAAATATCAAATTTTACTGAAATATCAACGATATACGAAGTTTCTTAACTTTTGTCAGTAACCGTATATTTAAAGTAACTTCAAACTCTGATTGTGACATAGCGATCCTAAGCTTTCGCATTTAGTGGTAATACAGTCGTGTGCTATGTATTTATCAGGAGTCCGACTCGATGATACACATACATAGTTATCGCTATATTTATGATATGCGCTCTATGCTAACACCATTGCTTGTGAAACAAATGACACGACTCGATATGCCTCGTGTAAAAATACTGTGGGCCTCCTAGAGAGAGAGAGAGAAAGATTCTTAATTCGACTTGTGTGTGTGTGACCGAGGTGAATCGATATGTTCCTACGTGACAGAAAAGGAGAATTTTCTTTGCAGCACGAAATTGTACGGAACTTTGTTCGAGGGCGTATCGGAAAAATTAACGAATCTCTTTCGTAAGGCGAAAACGATCTTGAACCTATTCCTGGCCACTTTGGAAGGTGTAATCGTTTTCGACACGGATGCGGAATCGGAAACGGAGCTGCTAGTAAAAGGTGAGCGATCCTATTACGTTTTAACGATACTTTAACCGGAGCCATTTTTATCCTTATCGCGTATTATTATTTTCGTGCGCGCGATACCAATGTTGGGATAACATCGCTTTCTTTGAAGCAGTACTGGACCATTTCCGTTCCCATAACGTTCTAGGAACCGGACCGATAACGTCACCCTGTGCGCAAATAGCGCCAAAGAAATTGTCGGTCGTAAGTAGATCGCGAATCTTTACGCGAACAATTTGCAAGAACCAGGATAATAGACAGGAATGAATTTTTTGCTTTGATAGTTTCAACAAATTGAAGACAATGTCGCGATATTCATATATTGACCTGATATCTTCACTGCTCTGTATTTCACGTAAGGTGAACGTACCTAGCATGAAATACCCGCTTTATATTAACAATATTATAATATATATATAATATTATTATAATATTAACAATATTATGTTATATATATAATATTATAATATTAACAATATTATATTATATATATAATATTATAATATTAACAATATTATATTATATATATAATATTATTATAATATTCACGTAAGGTGGACGTACCTAGCATGAAATACCCGCTTTATATTAACAATATTATAATATATATATAATATTAACAATATTATATTATATATATAATATTATAATATTAACAATATTATATTATATATATAATATTATAATATTAACAATATTATGTTATATATATAATATTATAATATTAACAATATTATATTATATATATAATATTATTATAATATTACATAATATAATATTATATTAACAATATTATATATTATATATATATAATATTATTATAATATATTATATATTATATATATATAATATTATTATAATATAATATAATATTATATTAACAATTACATTTATTCTAATTTACCTTTCTTGAGACATTTTCATGCCGTATTTTCACCCTTCCTGTACACGATACAGTGATTGACAGAATCGGGTCTCTGGTCAGCATCGCGCATGCATTGGATCTGAAGACGTTCGTTGAAACGTCGAAAATGTTCGGTAAGCTGGCAGTTACCTACCAACATGTTGTGAAACGGGGGGATCCAACAAACATCACGTTGCATCTCGAACAATTAGCGAAAGACGTGACGTCGATGCTTTTGTGGCTTCAGGTAGGCTGTAACTAATAAATGATCGCGACGCACGACATTAGGAACTCTTTCGGCGGCCATAAATGCTTCCATCTCCGTTCTAAATATTTTAATTTTTAACGGAGAAAACAATCGTTTACAGTAGCGCATGTATTTTTCTTCTATATTTTTTATATCCGATTCCATTTGCTATAACTATAATAATTTATTCAAGCGTTTCAATTCAATCGCTAACTGCGAGTTAGCTGAATGATTAATCCATTTTGTTAACATTCGTTCGTATCTCGGGAAATTTAGCTCGCCTTTTTAACAAGATATTAAACAATGTAATAACACAAAGATATTAACGATATTTTTTTTCTGGTAATCCACCGTTCACCGATTCAGAATTCTCTTGGCAATGCAGACGAAAAGAAGATAAAGGTAGCTGGTCATTCGTTAAAAATTTTGGACAGACTGCTCGCAGCCTATTATTCCAATATAAGCAACGAAACCCTTCTGTGCGTGATCGAGCTTATCATACAAATGCATAGGTACTTGATCGGGACAAAAAATGTTCGTTGATCGTCCCCCGTGTTAGCTTATAATTCGTACGCTATTCTTCGTCGTCAGATGTAATCCTGCCTGTTTGAGAAGGTGCCAGATCTCTGATAAAATGATCGAGTTAATAAATGCTCACATCACAAGGAGCGCGGAGCCATTTTTGAACACCGTTTTCAAACACTCCGATTTCAAGCAGGTACTTTTATAATTAATGTGCTCGATATCGTTTTTTTTTTTCGAAGACGAGAATTCGTCTCTCGTTGATTAACGTTGATCATTCGGTCTTGATTAAGATCGAATATGCTGATTATCCGGAACTTTTAGATCTTCTTCGAGTGCAAACATCGAACGAACTTCGACAAGCTCGGTTACCATTTGTTAATTATTAGTATTATGAAGAAATTAGTGAGCATGCCGTATGAACAGCACTGTGAATGGACGCTGGGCGCGGAGTCGATCATCGATGTCGCGTTAACAAGCATTTGGGACAGTAAGTGTTTACAGTGATTGTTAGCGAACAATTATCCCAGAATGAGGATTTTGTACGACATTTATGACAAAATTAAGTAGACGTTGCCCGAGCTGGTAGAAACATTTAAACAGTAATCATGACTAATCATTATGCATCTTCGTATGAGCCGTTTATTTTAAAAGTGGCATAAGTCACTTTTTTTTTTTTAATGGAAAGATACCGTTCAATTGTAATTAGTGTTACCATTAACTCGATTTTTTTGAAAAAGTGACTTATGCCACTTTCAAAATAAACGACTCATATATCGATATAAGACTATCAATTTGCAACTAGTGAAAATGATTTAAAAAAAGAAAAAGAAATTCTTAAATGTTCGCAATAAGCACAGAATTGTTTGACTTGTATTTGCTGTTCGATTTGTTTATATACATATTTATGTTATTTGTATATTGTAAAGGGCTCGATAGATGATACATTTATACGGAAAATTATTATTTTGCATCAAATCCGCAATCTAGTAATTATTAACGAAAAGTAAAAGTGTGGTAAATAATAAATATCCGTTATTCTAACGAATATTGCTAATGAAACTGTCATTTGTTAGAACTATTTTTTAATTTCTTTTATAATGTTTTAATATATGTGTAGTATAATATAAAATAAATATAATATATTATATATAAATATATATATATATATATATATATATAATATAATATATATATATATTATAATATATAATATAATATAAATATAATATATAAATATAATAGTAA